CATCGCTTTCAAAGAAATCGTTAGACTTGGCAACCCTGCGAGTGACAGATAGATATCCCCGCCAGTCAACGACCGCCAGTCAAAAACACAAACAATAAGCATTACTAGTTTTGATGATTTTTGGACATTATTTGTGAAACATTTTTCAAAATTTTTTGCCTATCTCCATAGTAATTGCATTATGCATCAGGGAGATTTAGTGATTGACACGTCTTATACATATTATCTGTGTTTTAGGATGGAGAGGACATAATGTTTTTATTGCTTTGAAGAAATTCATTAACACATAAATTAATAAATGATTACTATTATGACGTAAAGGAGAATGAGGAATTGGATGGAATGTATTTTATATTCTATTTTCTTTCAAAATACAGACAAATCCACACTATTCAACAGGTATGTAATGATAACTTTCAGTATATAGTTGGTAAATTCTAGAGTACCATGCATCAACAAACGTCCAAATCTGCAGCCAAATTTAACAGCCAGAAAATCGACCTATTATTTGCCGCATTCCCATTCGCTGAGGGGGATAACGGCTGTTAAATGTAAACCTATAACATATATCAAAATACATGATAAGGTATTTTCCCATTGGTCCATAATATTAATGTTGGTGAAATCGGCCCTTAGCGTGTCATGATGATATTTAAAAGAAATCTGTTGCCGACTTTATTTGACTTATTTATTATGTTTTTTATTGATAAAGTGCATTACTCTTTTCTTTGTTTTTAGTATCTTTAAAAATATATAGATGTCTTAACAAATCGGTAAGCTATGGATTAGGTAATACTTTTATATTTCTGTTATCTAGAAGTATGTTCCTAAAATTAAAAGTTATTTGTTAACGCTTTGTACATTTTAATAGCTTTAACTATAAATATTCAACGTCATGTAGGTAAAAATATGCTAGCAGGGCAGTGATATGTTAAAAGTGCTCGACCTCAATAGGTAAATTTCCCTCCACGCACAAGCATTTGCTTTTTGTGGTATTGTATATGTTCGTTGCGCGATATGCTTTTTCCTTTTGCCCCCAAATTGTATTTTATCTTCAATAAACATTATATATATATTATTATACTTTTTGTCATTGCGCCAAGTTGAAAGCATTCTTGGTGTCAAAAGCTACCATTACAAATCTACGTACTACTGTAGATACCGTACCACTTTGGGCTAAAGGTGAGAGTTTCTTAACTCGAACGTACGGGTCAACATAGGCTGAATTGGAGTAGCTTTGCATCGTCCAGAGTTAAAGAGTTAAACTTGGACTTTGTGCCACGTTGACAGCTTTGAAATATAGGAATATGTATAGGAATTCATCGGCAATATTGCGAGAAAGTCTAGTGCTGTTTTAAAATTTATGATTTGAGAATGAATTTTCATATTTAGTACTTGTGTTTGGCGTCCTGTTATTATTTTCTATGATCGGTTGTATGTTATTTTATATTTGGAATATTGATGGTAAGCAGCTGTTCAGCAACATACACACCTTTAGGAACGATCGCAAATGGTCTTTATAGCACTCGTGAAGATTGATGGATATTAGGCCTTGCCAAGAACAACTGCTTAACAGTATCATTATAGTATGCAAACTGCGTGATTTCTCCATAAAGAAGCCAATTTCATCTCATCACCCTCTATACGCGAGGCCATATATCTCCGATGTATGTGCTCGTATGTATACGTTTGCCTTAAAATGGGCAACAAAGTAGCTGCTGGGAACCTCATACATATTAATCGAGTTTTGTTCTGCATAAGCTCTTTCCTAAAACATCTATTAAATTGAAATATCGCGGCCCCTTATCTAGCCTATTAAGATATACCCGATCGCACACCAAATATAAATAATGCATTTGGAAAATAAAATTTATAGTTAGAGAGGTCGCGGACATTTTTAACTATCTGTTTCAGTTGAACGTTGATTTTACTTCCCACGCGTACTGGGAATTTTTTGATACCGAACCAGCCGCGCAGGCAGAAGCCTAAATGCCGGGACACCGCGGCCGCTATGAGGATCCTAAAGAATTTTTTTTAATCCAATTTTTGAACTGCCTAAGGCCAGTAGAACCGTCAAAAGCTTTCTCTTGTAAATTTTTCCACAATCTCGACACTCTCGGGACAAAGGAGCGGTCGTATCGGCCAGTTAGGGATGTACGAAGTACGACACGGCTAGGATGGGAGGCCAAACTGGCAGGCTTATCGCGTGGAGCAAAGCCCGTAGGTGTAACGCGAGAAGAGAGCTAGATGCCAAAGAGTTCCGGGACTGTCTGTTAGAGAAGAGCTTATGTCCTTTGGTTAATAACTGAATCCGGAGTGTTCCCAGATACTTACAAAATGGGAATAATTACACCGGCTCGTAAGTCTGACGACATATCTAGTACCAGCAACCAACATCAATAACCAATTTGGCAATTGAAAAAAATGATGAAAGAGACGCGCATTAGATTCTTCAATAAAAATAAGCTGATACATGAAAATCAATTTGGATTTCAAAAAAAAAAGAAATCTCTTAAAACACGGTTTCTTTCTTGAACTCTTGACGTTCGATACGGTGGATCACTCGCAATCATTGGAAACTTTATATGATGCAGGAATTAGAGGAGACGGTCAAAACCTTACTCTTTTTCAGGAAACGATTTGTTCTAATAAATGATTCCAAGTTCGGAACAGATTGTGACTTATGGTGTGCCGCAAGGGACAGTTTTAGGCCCGTTATCCTTTTCTGTGTGCATTGCAAACGATGCTGCAATTCTTTATTCTAATAGCAATTCGTGGGATTGCCTTAAAGAGACTGTCCAAGATGATGATATTTTAATTTCAGATTGGTGTAGAAACAAATATTTAAAAATCAACTTCCAGTTCAGAAAACAACTTACATGCCTTTCACAGCATTCACCTCTTTACAAATTAACTTTGACAATACAAATACTCTCATACATTCGGCTGATGAACAACATGTTTAGGTATTCATTTGGTTCCCTATTTAGAGTGGAATCTCCATATTGATCATATAGTAACTAATTTGAGACGATTATTATTTGAATTTTGAATTAATATGTTATATTTTTGAATGGCGTCTCAATGGTGCGATACTAGCTTTGGGTGGTGCGCTTACCAACCAAATTACGAAGAGCAAGATATAATCCAGAAGTAATTTTTGAAAATTATTTTTCAACGGCCAATTCTATATCCATTTGACATGTTATGGGATGCATAGTGCTGTCAGGTATCGGGGAAGGGCGACGTTGTCAGATTGACTACCGGTAGGGCAAGAGAAGAATGTCTATACTCTAATTGTGCCCGGTAGACAGACAATCAGAACGCCGGAAATGAGTGACATGGGTTTTCGTATTGTACCTGACATCCCAACTAACAATTATCACTCCTATGAGAGATGCAAGAATGATTATACAGTATTTCTTACACAGCATTGTATACTGTAAGAACATTGGCACAACGCTCATAGAACAGCTATACAACCGGAATGGGCACACCTAATAGGACACTTCAGTCCCTTAAAAGAGGTTGTATAAGGGCTGCAGGTAACAGTTATACGACAAAAGTGTAAGCCTCTTGCAGCCGCTATAGGAGACATTTGCGTCAGTGCAAAATTCAGTTTTTATCAACTATACAACTATTCTGTTACGTGATTCTAGTTTATTGCAACCAAACTATTTCTTATGTATTGTATAGACGAAGTGAAGAATAAATAAATAACACATTACAGTCATCTTGTTTACTTACATATAGGCCATTGTGAATTTCATACACAGGTATATGATAAACCTCTACACTGTGATATAGGGCTATTGAATTACTTGCGCAGCAAATTTTATTGTGATTATCGTGCAAAGTAGTTACGCAATTTCTACGGGCTTCGTATTTGATTCATATTTTGATAATGATCAAAAGTATGTCTAGATTTTTAAGATGGAAGACTGAACTTATCAGCGTTAAATCTTCCACAAATCCTATATTTAGACACAATTACACTAATGTTAATCACTTTATATCTGTACTTTCGAACTGAAACATAATTATTTAATATTAAATAGAGGAATAAATGTTTGCCCAATATGGCAGGTGGTTGTGTATAATCATGGCATCGTCCATGTTGTCTTTAGTTTATTAGAATATTTTGGTGTTACTTGCAGGTGTTATACAACAATTTGAGAAATATCTGATATGAATACCGACAGAGTCGAATTATTTGCCCGGAATTTGTACCAGATCTATATCTTCTGTTTGAACAGTTTATAACATCTTTTGAACCAATGTGCATGCGTTGTTTGTTTTAAGACCTTGGTTATGGCATTTTAAAAAAAATATGACAGCAGAAAGTTAGGTTATGGTGAAGTTGTATACCAACATATTTAGCATATGTACAGCCTTTAACAGTCACTAAACAACAGTTGTATAAGTGCTTCCGCTGGGAGCAATTTGTTGGCTAAAGTAGTAAATTGCACAGCAAAACAACAAGGCTCGGGTTTGTTTTATAAACGTTACCATGGATGCCACAACACAACCATTTTGACTAACGTGCAAATATGCCGTATAAAATAGTTGTATAAACGTTTATGCAACAGTTAAAAATTTGCCCTATAAGGTGTTGTATAACTATGCTATAAGAATATCTTAAACACCTCACTTTAGGGCAAACACACACAACATTAAGCCAGCATTTTAGTGTTCAGGCAACAACAATAGAGAGCCTTTATGGCTGAACGGTTCGTTTACCAAAAGCTTATACCACAACTTTGCTAGTTGGGATGTTACATCCAAAAAAAATATCTCGTATAAAGTGAAGGTGAACTGTATTTCTCAGTAGATTAAGATGTAATGGTGTGTGTAATATAATCTAGTAGATCCCCGGTTCATTAGAAAATTGACTCCCGAATTATCCAAAATGGTTGCGACCTCTCTGACTATACCTAAACCCGGCTGTAATCCAAATATAAATAATGCATTCGGCAAACACAAAAATTAGACTCGACGGAAAAATGCAGACGTGTGGGCTTTTCATCGTATTGGGGTTGATTTCTGTCGTAGTCGCGGGGGAACTCCATGAATATAAAACGGAAGTAGAACTGTTGACGGATGAAAGGAAAGTTGAGGAAAGACTGGATGATCCAGGTGTGCCGCCGGATAATGGCGGGAATTATGGTGATCTGATATACAGGTATGTGTTCAACGGTTTTATTTTCCCAGCCCTGAGGCGCGAGTGTTTCTACTAACACAATCTTTTTTGACATCTTATATTTAGGGAGGTGATCGATTACACTTCCCTAGAAACAAAAACTCAAGTTTTTTACGTCTTTCTACTTTTGATTTACCGGAATGTCTACGGTCGACGTTCCTCTTTCGTATCAAAGAGCGGTTGACGATAATCTACATATCTAGCAATGTTTTAATGAAGCCTGTTCACTTAGCTCACATTCATGTTACGTTGACCGTTAAAAAAAACGACAGATGTAGAAGAAAAAAATCATTGACGTTACGTGGAGTTTTTCAAAGGACAATGCCGGCACTGAGGTTTACATGATTTTTAAACATAAACTGCCAGTAAATCAGCAAAACAGGAAAACAGCAAAAATGTAATGGAATGGTTATTTTGTTTGGGCTCTTATTTGTGATGCTGTTACTTTCTATATCTGCCATGCCAAAACGTTAAACTTCTACCTCACTCCTACTAGGTCATGCCCTGTTATACATCTAGAAGTGGCCGATATGATTCCTAGTCCTCTCTTGTAATATTAAGAGTATGCAACTGTTTTCGGTTCAGCTATCTCAACGAGCTAAAAAAGTTACAAAAAATTGCACTGAACTGCGCCGCACAAAAATTTCTTATCCAGCCATATAAATACTTTACGACCATGGATTATTAGTACACCCAGTGATAAGGAATACCGAACATTCAGTAAAATGATTTAATCTGAATGCAATTATATGTACAGCCAGATATAGGTAATAGGAGATCGTGATCTTTATTTTGGAATAGAAACGTTTTTCGTGTAGCTGGATTTACCTAATAATGTGTTGGTTCATTCCGATACTGTGTACATGTATATCCTACGTGAGCTGGACAGAAGATCTGTCAGTGGCCAGCATTATTCCCATCGTACACACACATGTGCAATAAGCGAAAAGCCTGCAGATCCAGGAGGCCAAGGAAGGTGGCTGACTGAACCTTATTGAGACAGTAAATTGTAGCCCTACCAATATGAATACGCGCTGATGCCCAGATGATTCTGGTACGTAAAAAGGTTTGTCGAGTGTTTGGAGATATGATAGAAAAGTAGGTTCTGGTATGTCTGTCTCTAATGGAAACAAACCATAACCCTGTAGTATGGTGCAAGTAAACCTCAATTGAGAACCTTCTCATTCGTGTTTATTCAAGTACTCCTGAATAGAACCAAGACTCAGTAGTAAAAGCAATATCAGAACACTTAGTCTCGGTTGTCACAAGACGCAGCAGAACAAAGACGTAATGTATGCTTTTAGTTGAACGTCACTTGCACATGGCTGTAGGAGTTACCCTAATTTTCAAGATGATGATGTCCATATTGCAAGAGTTCCAATGAGCTGCCTTAATTACGCTCAAGTCAGTCTGCTTCCATGGTTTCCTCTACTTACTCGTACAGACCTTTTGCACATTGAGAGGCATAATCCCTTAAAATCAATCACTGTACCGTTCATTCAAATGTATTTTTTCCTAGTGTATCGTATCAGTGTTAATAACTAAAACTTAGATATTCCTTATCCATCAAACCTTTTCGTCTACTCATATTTTATTTATTTCAGTAAATGTACAATATTATCATTTGTATACGAGCCTTTTTTGGTGATGTTGGCCCAACTATCAAAACTAAGTTTTTTATGAAATTTGTCATAATGGCGGAAACGTATTAAAAACTAAAATGCATTTCTGATAACATATGGTATTTTCATTTAATACTAACCTAAAATGCTAGATTTGATACAGAAAAAATACCTTACACATTCAAAAAAACTGCCGATTAATGAAAATCAACGAAACCAGATCACCTCTGCGTTTCACCTCCTCTTCGACTGATTACTGATTCGTTACGTCTTGAAATAGTATTAACTAATGTTTGGCATTTATCTGGCATAATTTCGTCAAAAAAGAAACATAACCTAACATCACAATTGACTTCTGATTGACAGCAGACTAGAAATGTAATGTACCTTACCGAAGAAGATGTAATATTATCGAGATCAAGGAGACCATAAACGCGCCCTACAATTATTGTAGCGACGACTGACGATACGGGCCAAAGTTACTATGACATCAACGTACTTATAAGCATCCATAATACCTTCCACGAAGTGTAAGTTTCTCGCTCCACTTACTGACATGGATCCCCAAACTATAACACAAGCCGGAAACTTAACTTTTTTTAAGACAATCATTCTAAAACTCTTCTTTAATTCTTATGACACGACTCCTGCTATCACCAACGCATGCTTCAAATGTGGGTTCATCACTCCATGTAATGTAGTTCCATGTTCAGAGATCATAATTTGTGTTCTTGAGCCCACGCTAGTCTGTTTTTCTTCCGAATCTTTATCAGTAATACTGAATTAAAAACGAATAATAAGATAATATTTTAAACTTACCTTGTAAGTTTTAAATCCAACTTTTTGGTCAGCTGACAGCTGACAAGTTGCTGTTGAAACCTTTTCTGTGGTTTCCTGATTCCATAATATTCTCAATTCGTTATAATAAGCTCGCCGATTTTCCTTGATAATCCGTTTTAAGGCTTGTAAGTTGGTATTGGAATAACGTAAGCTACTTCCAGGTCTGGGTTTTTGAGCCACAGATCTCACCTACCTGTATTTTATCAATGCGAAAAAACAGAGCATTCGACTTAAGTTGCTTCCATCATGCATTTTGCTATACACAAATCATTTTGTTACCTTTCCATAAACATTTCAAGAAACCAAAAATATTATATTTGAAATAAAATTTTAATTGGCCCTAGTTATGTATTCCTTAGCAGTTAGTTAGCAACTACCGCCCACACTCAAGGTACGCATGATCCTTTTTGTAGGTACCTCATTTAATCGAGCATTTTGTTTCACGCTCATGCATCTGTAAGGATGGATATCGAATAAATTACTATTATTATTATTATTGCACGTGCGTGAGGTATGATGGGAATAATAGTGATACCATTACGTCATGCTCCAGAAAGACTGGCAACTTTTTGAAACCAAGTGCAACTATCAGGGATGAGTTACCTCTAAGAAACTTAAATCTGTCCTCTGAAGCACGTCCCGATGACGGAACAAATATGTTTGGTATCGGGGAAATCCAGCTATGCAGAAACCGTCTCTTCAAAGTTTAATCACGACTTTGCCTTACTTGTACTTATCTGTGTATAAGGTTAGCGACGGACATGTGTAACATAAGGAATAGGTCAAGTCAGCTAAGCTGGCCCATACAATATGTCTATGGACTCATCCTAATTTCAACGCTAAGCTACTCACAGTTAATTCTGAGAAAACTAGTTTTGTACCTTTCGCATCCTATGGAAACCATATGCCACAATATAACGAAATAAATGTCAGAATAGGAAACAATACGACAACCATTAAACGTTAAAGCAGCACTAAATATCTGGGAATATATATTGATCAAAATCTCAGATGGGATGTTCACATCGAATATGTGACAAAGAAAATAAGATTCCTTATTCCGAAATTCAAATGACTTAGAAACATCCTTAATTCTGATTGCATAGAATCTTATACTTCGCTCTTGTGCAGTCACATCTTCGCAATGAAATACCACCTACATAAAGAACTTGGAGATTGCCCAAAGATATTTATTAAAAATTCTTTATACCAAGAGTAAAACTCATCCATGATGGACATGAGGCAAACCTTTATTTATAATTGCATGGTATACTACTTTAAAAATAAATCATTTCATGAGGAAATCGCTCACAAATATGAAGGTTGCTAGGCACATAATGGTACCTAGGCCGGAAAAAGCATTATTGCAACGCTCCTGGATTTATCTTTGCCCCAAATTGTACCACGAAATGCCTGATGATTATAAGTTAATAAGAGACATTGCTTTATTCAAGAAAAAAATCTCAGTATCGGTGAAAGGTGTATCCAGGAGCATAATACATGATTATATAGAAGGCAAAACACTATATATGTAACTTTCACAACCCAAATGAAGTCACCCTTCTTAGAATAATTGCTCCATTCTATTAATTTATTATTTTATCATGTTTTATTGCACATTATTATATTTTATTAGAGTCACATATGTTTATACCGTATCTCATGTATGATGGGCACTGCAACTTTAATTTAATTTTATTCTATTCTATGCTTGATATATCCTTGCCTTTATTGCTCACAACACAAATGCAACTACCAGTTTTGTAATGTGATTTTAGTTTTTATTGTCCTTTACCATTTATGTACCCTTTTTTATTGTTTAGCCTTTTGATTTATGTTATTTATTATTGAATTTAGTTAAAGAGCCACAGTGTCAGTTCAAAGTTTTGGCGTTTCTACCAGTGATCATGTAACACCAAATTATGTCAGTGCGCCCGTTAGAAGTGCATAGTGCATTAGTAATTACTTGATGGACATTATTTATATCTGCGGATAGACAACTGACAATAATGGGATGGACACACACAATATTTTTCTTTCGTGGCATTACTTTTATTTGTCATTGATTTGTGGCAAGAGTTTTACTGTAGCCGCTCTCTACTGTACCTGTAGTGTATTAAAATGACCGAACATTTTTTCTTAGTGCAATTTTTTGCTTTTTGAACAAAAAAACTGATTCTTCGCACTTTTCAACATAAAAAAGCTCGCTTGTGAATTTTCGTTATAGTTAGCCGTTTTTGAGATATTTCGATTTTCAAGGTTCGATGCATTTTTAATTATTTATGATAAAATAACGCTAAAAAGTCAGTATCTCGATAATTTTTAGAAGTAGGCTGTGCCTGCAAGTATTATTGAAATTCAAAGCAGAATAAGATTAAACGTCAATTAGTTGACAGTTAGTTTTGTTGTCTGTTGAAACCTGAAACGTTTTTTTGCAATTGTGAATGCACGAAATTTAGTTCCTTTTACCTGTTTTTTTTAAGTTTTATAAAAATGCCATTTTTATTCTCCAATCAAGAG